TATATATATATATATATATATATATATATGCGACCAACATACTCAATCTAGGGAGTTGTTTGTCATATATCGGGAATTGACAATCAAGATTGAAATCGAAAAATTATTCTTATCGCTATTTTACATCATAGGAGCTGAATCCACCTTTGTCATTTGTCCACTAGCTTCACGTGATGCCCCGACCCATCAAATCACAAACACGAAAAAGCAAGGTCAACATGTAAAGTGAGAACAAAACAAACACAACCAAACCCACCACCTTACCCAAAAAGAGATCCAAGAATGATTAAGGGCAAAAGTGGAATCAAACTTCTAGCAATTGGAAATTTTGTACTAGCTAGTCTTGATGATGACGAATCGTATTTCTCGAATTGTAGTGAGTCGACAGCCAAGGGCATGTTCTCCTGGTCAGGACTGCACTTGGACTCGTGCGGAGGGTGTGCACTGTACATGATGGCTCGTAACACGGCCGAGACGGTTGGTATGTACGCCGTCTTGTTAAGCGCCAACAGCCATGTTAGTCCCATCAATTGGCAATCCCGACTCAACATATTGCTGGCCCGGTTGCTGTTTTCGCGGTCTAGTTGTTTTGTTACATTTTTGCCATCCCCTGTCAACTGCAAAAGTAATCATACCAAGGGCAATTCAGACATTGTACTAGACTTGAATTTTTCTTGTGCTTAAAATGACATTTTCAATAGTTTTTTGAAGAAATAATTGAAGTTGAAACTTAGAGGACTGACCTTTTGAAGAGCTCCAAGGCATCTAGTACAACCAGCATAAGAAGAATTCTTGCAATTCTGTTCCAAATTCCTTACAGCAGCGGTGGGAGTAGCATTTCTGTAAGTCCCAGTAATATTAAACGCGGCGGGGCAGGTCAAAGAGGTGATTTGGTGGAGGCGGATGCCGCAGAAGCACAACACGGCGTCGCACGAAGCATTTGGCTGAGGGATGTGAATGTTTCGGCTCTGCAACGAGTTCTGCAGTGAGTTGACGCACTTCTGCGAATCATCCGGCATCATCGGCAGGTCGGAACTCGCCGGAGGTACCGTAGATGGCACCTGCAGAGCCGACCTCGCATGAGCAGCGAAAAGCCACGCCGCCAGCACTGGGCAGCACCGGCTCCGGTCGAGGTTTCTTCCACAAGCCGCACTCACACCGCCGAACAACTCTGCTGACAGGTCCAGCCGGCACGTCTGGGCTTCTGTCTGGACCTGAGACGCAGGGACTGTATTAGAACTGCCAGGATAATCGCCGGGTCTTAATGGCTGCTCCGGTTCGGAAAGTAAACCGGCAAAACAGCCATAAAAATATAATGATAATGTAATGATGAGAAAGCTAAATGAATGCATGGAAAAGCTTGATTCTTTTCTCATGAAATTTCGATCAAATACTTTCATTTAAAAGTCCCTTTGCTCTGGTTCAAGTAGGGCTAATGTGAGGTGAAAAAGAAAGGAGATGAATGATTATTTCTTCTTAGGAAACAGTGCAAGTTTGGATTTGAACCAAAAAGGAAATTCAAAAGATTATACAGGAAGCTGAAGACATCCTTTTCATTCTTTTACTTTCTCAGTATTCTCTGCGATATATATGCGTATTGTGTAAAAGAGAATCACTGGGTAGCTAGAGAGAGGAATCAAACAGAAAAACGAGAGTGAAAGGGAAAGGGAAAAGGAAAGGCAATGAGGATTTGGCAGCTTCTGGTGTCCTTTTCTTTATCATTCTCCTCCTCAGCCAGCCCCACACCAACTACTTCCATCATACATTGGTGAATAAAAAATGAAAATGAGGCTATGAATTTCCCCTTTTTTCTATTATGGGTAGGTGAACTTGCAGGACGTTTCGTTGGGGAAGGAACGTTTGTTGAAAAAAATGAGGGGAAGTAGAGGAGGAAAAGAGCACTTTTTGTAGTTTAATTGAGAAGAAAATGATGAAGAACAAGAAGAAAAAAAATAAGTTGAGGTCTTATGATTGAATGATTTTGTATTGAATTCTGCATATACTTTTAGAAAAAATTGTTAAAAACTGAAAAAATATATTGTTGAAAAGTTAATAAAAATTCAGAATCGTGTAAATGATTAAAACTAATTTTTAACTTATAATTAATTTTTTTTGGCTAAACAACACTAGGGATGCCATTGTTGACATGCATGAATTTCTAGCACCATTGATAGGTTATTATATTTCAATGACTCGCAAATATTACACACATTTTGTAGGACCCACAATTTCAATGTTTCGTTTATATTTATAATCTGTATATAAAACTTAAACAACTTTTATCTGCACATTTCAAGAATTAATCTGCAAGTGCTATCCACTTGTTAACTATTTATTTATAATTTAAATCGTTTATAACTACTTTCTAGGCATGCTTTAATCACGTGCCAAACATGCACTTTGTTATGTCGCCTTCAAGGATAGATACGATGATAATCTCCTGAGTTGTGACCTTAGTAAAAGAAATATGTTACCAGTCCCAAATGATAGTGTAATGAGGGTTGTCATCATCTTTGGCCAATAACCAGTGTATCTGGTAATGTATCGATTTTTACCATTTTTGTTTTGGATTAAAATCAAATTTTAATTTAAGTCAAAGTCAAACAATCAACATTTACCAAATTTTTCATGGATCCCACAACTTTTAAACCACATATTTCAAAATTTTCTATTACAATCTACTAAAAATCTAATTTTAATCTCCACCAAACAACCATTAAATTTCGATCATTTAAAAATCGTGTGAAAATTGAACTGATCGGTTTTAGTATTTTAAAAAATGTAAAATTTTGATTAAAGGCTTTAAGGCCTATATATATATCTTTCTATATATAAAAAGTGCATATTTAATGGAATTTGTTGGTTTAACGGAAAAACTAACGGAATTTGTTGTTTTAACGGATTATGTAACGAAATTTTTTGTTTTAAACAGGCAGCTACACCTTTTTTCAGTGTTTTTATCATAACTTTGTATTCCGATATTCGATTGAGGCGATTCAAAATGCGTTGGAAAGCTAACCAATCTAACTACAACTTTAATTCAGACATCATTCTCCAATTCGGTCACTTCCTAAGCCAAAAATAGGTCTCAATATGAGACTAAAATACCGGAGCATAACTTTTCGGTTGGAAATTGATTTGCGATCATCTTTTGACTAAATTTGATCCCCTTGACATCTTCCTTTATCCAATTGACTCCGAGCACTCTCAAATCTTCATCGTGAGATTCGGCACTACTTTTAAATATTTATATTTTAGCCCCTGAACTTTGGATCCCTTACAATTTAGTACTTTCTCCAAATTTGTCTACTTTTACTTATTTTCTTCAATCTCACCAATCTACATCACAATATCAAAATCACACATCTAATTATTTATCAATTACATAAACATTGCATCATTAATTATTTATAGGGTGTCTGTTTCTGCTTTTCAGTAGAAATCAAGCCGTTGGCAACACAATTCATG